CAGACTGAGCGTTACGACCTCCATCTGTCTCGACCGCCGGAACTTATTGCGGTTGAACAACTCTCAATTCGTGTGCGTGGTTTGACGTCTTTGTGTTTCACGCCTGGCACCAAGAATACTCATCAAGGTGAGCGCTCAGGGAGGCCTTACTATAAATGCTAAGAGGACGACTAGCATTCCAATGGTTCAACGTCGCCTATGTTGCGAAAACAATTGCAGTAAGTCCTTAAGATCGGTATACCATGTTCTGGCTGCATTAGATCGTACTGTCCGCAACGTGCAGGCAAATACTTCCAAGAAGTGAAACAGACAAACAAAGTTGCTGACACAAGTTGGTTTCATCCAACATGTCAAGTCATTCCGGTTGTCAACTGTTTATCTTTGCTGATGAAAAAGTACGATAAGATGACTGAGATAATGGCACATTTTGTAAGTACTAAGATTGGTCCCACAAAGGTAAATATGGCCAAGCTAATATCTCAACCAGCCAAAGTAAGCTCTGAATCTGAGCGGAAGAAGAGAGCTAGACGCTCCAACTTCACTGCACCGTCTGTGACTATAAATCCACTGGGTCAGCTTACTCCCATAGGTAGATAAGCCTCAAACATGCCTGCTTCCACTTCTCCAACCATAGACGCTTCAACTGGAGATTTAGCCATGAACCGACAGCTCAGAGTCGTTGGTATTCCTGTGCAGATAACATGCAGGTAACGTACGCATCGATTGATTCGACAAACACATCGGCAGTGACACACATAGGTCCTTCTTCAGTACCGAGCACGCGTGGCGCAAAGCAGTTTTTACCTTCAACCCAAGTGGTGCCTTTTAAACAATCCAAATTGCAGGCGAAATGTATAAGGCAAACACTCGCTAAACAGGACCAGGCTGCGTTAACTCTCGTGTGCACTAATGTTCCCAAGTCCAAATCTGGCACAATAAACGGCAAGTTGCAAGACGATCGCAACCAGTGCAGTTCCAGCTGCGACGCGATTGGTATTCGGGTTGAGCCTGCTATGCTGTAACACGTAGCGCGTCACCTGACCTCAGCGCATTCTGGTGAACCTCGAAGTTTTCGAGTGATACTTAACTCGGCAGGTGACACACAGGCTGTCCTGCTCTCAGCAGTTCGTCTTCAGAACTCACCGAGTGGAGTGCGCATATTACCCGATCTACCTTGGAAAGATCGCCCAAAATAAGCAGTTGAGCAACGCGGTATTCCTAATAGTGATAGCAAGAAAACTATATTTGTTCGTAGTGTTCCAGAGCTTCTGTATTCTTCTGATCACGATGCGCAAACACCAGACCGAGAGTAGTGGTGCTACATCCGCGAAGCACTCTCTGTTGCCAATGTTATTGCCAAATCCTTGACAAGAGTTCCTTCACTATCTAATTCCAAGGGCTGTGGTCTAAGACTCAAGAAAGCAATATCAACTCCTAGGGAATGACGCAAGTTCTGTCGGATAACTGGTTAAAGTCTCTAGCCAGGTTTATAACAGAGATCCTGCTAAAGGCACCAGGCGAACGGCCAAGAGTATTAAGCAAATCGTTGGAACTTGTAAACGCTGCAAATTCTTTATCTGCACAAGCTTGCGGATAGACCGACACAACAGCATTTACGGCACACGACAGGACGGAGCACAGCACGAGTGAAACGTCTGTTCAGGAACGAACAATAATGGCATGCAACTTGACTAAAATTCAAAAACCCGAAAGCGATTAATGGCCGGCCACCTAAACGGTAAGTTTAAAAATTAACACAAAGATGACATCCATCAAAGCACTCCTAACAACAATAACCCAATGTTGTATGTACACAAAGGCCTAGAGCCTTCTAAGTTGACGGGACTTAGAGAACTCCATGCCTCACAACCGCGGGACTTCGTCATGATTACAGAGAGTTGGTTAAACTTTGACATGACCGATTATGAAATCACTTCACCCGGTGGGGTGGTTGTGCGTGTCTTTATTATAATACAAACCAATGTGAAATTATCGATCACCCAAAAATCCGCGCTCCTGATTCAATTTGGTGCCGCCGATGGTTGCGAAACAGGGACACATGTCTACTAGCCGTGATTTACCGCCCACCAAACTCAACCTCGGAAATGGACTCCAAACTGAAAAACGTATTTAAGTTTACTTTGAACAGGTCCTACACCCACATTCTTATCGCTGGAGACTTTAACGTGCACGACATAGCAACGCCAGCAACCGAGGTTACGCAGTTTAATGCATGCTTGCAAGAGTTAATTGCTAGCCACCCACTGTATAATCACGTAACCTCTCCTATTAGATTAAGAACTATAAACAAGCCGTCGATACTGGATCTTATGCTCACTAACGAAGAACTCGTGGTTTACGGGATAGCCGCAAGCACACCAATGGGTCGTAGTGAACATGTTACTCTACGCTTTGACTGTATATGCTGTGCGGAGTATCTCGAAAAGTTGGATGATAAAGTTCATACTGTCACGCAATATAATTTGTTAGCTACGCTTGTTAAGGATACATCTTGGACTTTCTTAACCGAATGCCCACTAGATGTTGCCTGGTAAACCTTTACAAGGACGTTTAGCACCCTGATAGTGCACGCATCGAAACAAAAGTCATTCCAACCCAAAACAAGCATAAGTCATTTCTGAGGAGCAGAACTGGTAAATTTATGTCCCCGAGGGATTTGGCACGGTGAGTTCACAAGGACTGCTCGATTGCCGAAACCTGGACTGCATACGTGGCACGTTGTAACTTCAGTGTGAAACTGACCCGCAACGACAAGGTCAGGCATCAGCAGGAGTTATTGAAGCGATTTTGCACGAATCGCAAACTTCTGTACAGGCCTACGAAGCGAGTGATTCCAGCACTAGCCACGAGTGATGGATGCATGCGGTCAGCAATGGAAGCAGCCGAGCTCCTACGTCTTCATTAATTCTAAACTTTGCAGCATGTAACGAGTCCAAATCTTCTCCTTGTTTCTATGACTTCACCATCGAGTTTAGACAACATCAACTTTACTTCGGAAGCTCTGTTGAAGTGGTTGTTATCATTGCGTATTTACAGTTCTCCTGGAGTCGACAACATCCGACCAAAGGCTCTGCAGACGGTAGCTAGTGATCTAGAAGAACCACTGGTTGTATTTTATCAGCAGTGTCTAGAAGAGTGCCATATTTTACCATTATGAAAGCGAGGGATCATCACTCCTATACATAAAAGAGGTAGCCGCACTGACCCTTGCAACTACCGTCCAATAACACTACTTCATATACTATCCAAAGTGATGGAATCCATCATCGCAGATGCGTTGATGCAGTATCCGGAAATCCACAAGTTATTAGCCCCGGGGAAACATGGCTTTCATCAAAAGCGTTCATGTAATATTAAGCTAATAATTGTACGTAAAAGCTGGACTGAAGCTGTTGACGTGTGAGCAGGAGCCGATGTCATCAATCTGGACTTTTCAAAAGCGCTTGATCGCTTAGACCATCAAATGTTCCTTCCAAAGCTTCGGGACTACGGCATCGGCAACCCAATCCTGAGTTGGATTAGCAATTTTCTACACAAACGACGTCTAGAAATGAGAGTCTGAGAATCATTGTCCGATGCAATCGATGTAGTGTGGGGTGTACCACAAGGCTCGGTGCCTGGACCTCGTCTAACCTTGGTGTTCATTAGTGATTTGGCGAGATCAATTGCTTCTGCTTTCCTATTTTTCGCTGATGATATCAAGGTATGGCGAAGGATAGAAGGACCGGTCGAGGACGAACGACTCCAGTGCGATCTTATCACGGTGCCGAACGGGTCAATTCAAAATTTCCCTAACATTCAACGTACACAAACGTCTCGTTGTGCAAGTACGCCATAGACATAACTACACATATTTGCTTGGGACAAATGGATTGCAGACTAGCTGCCAGGAACGTTACCTTGGTGTGCTCATACAGAGTGACCTCACCTGTTTAAAACAAGCTGAGGTAGCTACGAAAAGAGACAACCAGCACATCGGCATGCCGTGAACGGCATTCAGGAGATTGGACCCGTCAATCTTCCAAATGATGCACCATTCCTACGTGCGCCCGCATGTTGAATACAATATCCAAGCTTGGCAACCTTGGTTGAAGCGCGATCGAGAGGTGTTAGCGTCACCATAACGAAGAGCATAAGAGAATGTAAAGGGCGTGCGCTATTACTCTTACCACAGAAGGCTGCTGCGAATTTGCAAAGGACGCTATCGAAGGCTATGCGGCGATCTCATATTAGCGTATCAGATACGGAGTGACCCCGACCACGTATGCCGCCATTTACTGAAACTTAGCCACAACACGCAGCTCAGGGGTAACTGCTTAAAATTGAAGGAACAATATAGCCGTCTAGAAGGTCGACGTAATTACTTCTCCCTTCGGGTATGCCAACCCTGGAGCCCAGTCCCAGAATCCTCCCCTACCTTGGACGTTTTCAAAAAACGCTTAGATGTTGCTCTCAGCTCCCAGCATTTGTTACCTAAACTCCTCTATTGTGAATTACTCCAAGCATGCTTTTCTACAGGAGTTGGGTATCAAATGGACCCAAGTGAGCGACTATATGTTACCTTTCTCAGGGCTTATCTCAATGATCGCTGCACCCCAGTGTCTTTCTGAACTTTTAAGCTCGATTTTATTTTAAATTTCACACTGATGTAATTTATCGAATTATTCACCTCGGCAGACGTTCGGCAGATGACCCACATATATTGGGAGTTCTTCCTATTCACCCCAACCATCCTACGGGACGTGTCAAGCACTTACTTTTGCCCCATGATAAATCATTGCTCATTATTCATTGCTCTGTGAGCCATGGAATCTCCAGCCTAATATGGCCATATATAATCTTATATATCTGTCCATATAATCTATTTTCTTTATGTTATATATTAACTTGTTCCCTTTTATCTGTTAGCCACCGACAGCTGCGTTCTCGTGTATTAGTTTTGATGGTTTTTCAATCTTCAAACCCATTTTCTCACATAGGACTTGTTGTGGGAAAATGCAATATACGTGAAAGAGGCCAATGCATTGAGCGTGGAGCTAAACAAAAACGTAAGTATTTGCAATTGTTAATGAGGAATTGAATTGATGTAATACTCCTATTTCTCAAGAAAAGGTTATGGTGTATATGCGCAAAAGCTGTCTTTATTTGGATGAATAATTGCATAATACTTTCAAAATTATATAATAAAGATTAACCACCTTTCGGTGTAAGAACATTTGGTACCTAACATATTTTAAGCAACTGAATGTCTAAAACTTCCAAGAGTTCGGATTTAGCTGTTTTTTGGATGCTTTGATTGTACCGTCCCTAATAGATTAATTCCTATTAAACTCAAATTTCCTTGGATATATTCTATTATTTTGAAGCTATTTCCGGCTCAGTTTATTGTGATACCAAGCGTGTAATTTTAGCTACACCCCATGTACATAAAAATCTTCGTTTGGAACCGTAGACTTCGTTTATATCCCTACTGAAATAGCATTCCAATAACGTTTGCGGGCGTTTTAGTACATTGTAACAATGCGTATTACCGGTAAGAAGGAAAGTGCTTGATAAGTTCCATAGGATGGCCGAAGTGTGAACCAATAAATAGTGAAAAGAAAAACTATTCATAATATAAAAAGCGTGGGCTAAACATAGACCTCACACAGAGGCGTGCCTAAAAGAGCCAAACTCGATTGTGCTAACTGTGCAAGGTTTGTCACATTCTATCATCTGTCGATGCATACTGGCTATACCTCGTGATGTAGATGGGTTAGCGTTATGTCAAGGCACTTCTTAAATACAGATAAAGTGGGGACGGAAAAATCATAATATGGGAGTGCGCCTCAGGACACACACACGAGCACACGACAGAGTAAGAGTTTTGCCGATATTTTTGCGAATCGTATTGCATAAGCAACTTACTGATTGCCCCTCAAATCCGTGTTGTGATTTAGTTGCAGTAGGTGACGGCTTCTTTATAATCTGGAAAGCCACGTATGCGCCTGTTACTAGACGCCGTACAAGCTTTGGGTCCTCAGCCGAAGTAGTTATAGAAGCTTCAACAGCCATTTGACGTGCTTTGGGGTTCTTTGTTGTGGACTTTTGAGCACTGCACAATATTGTTTTGCCAAGGTAGCCAGGCATAGACTTCGTATCCCACGTGGGACGTTACGTATGTGTGGATTTTGGGGAAAAACAAATTGATCGAACCGTCCGAGAGTCTTCCCCGCACCGACACGTTGTTTTCCAGTCTTGGACGCCTCGAATTGATCTGAGAAGCCCAGCTCAGCCTGAAATAATAATACACCAAGTTCGCGCACTTGGGTGACTTCATCAGAACTCGGTTTCTAAGATTGTATATGCTGTCCGGCTGATAAGAAATATGGTGCAGATTGTAAACTGACCAATCGTACGCCTTGTCCAGGTCTGGCGGAAGTGCTTCATGCACTCCTTGGTCAGCGATCGTCCGCCACATGTTAACGTCATCAGTAAAAAGCAAAAAATCCGAACAAAACTGATACCGAAGCTCGTTAACGAACACGAGAAACGAACTCGTAGCCAATACTGATCGTTCGTTAACGACATTCTACATTAATTGAATCAGACAGCTCACTACATACTCCAACATGCATTTTTCGATTCTGCAGGAAACCTCCATCCACCGATGCATAGGATCCCAATACCGTAGCTACTAAGTCTGTGAAGCAAAAAGAGGTAGTCCAGGGGGTCGAAGGATTTGAAAAAGCGGAGATAAAGGAAGCATGTTCCTCTTGCTTAGCTGGCTGCTTCTGTCCAACTACTGAGTGCAAGCAGTAGGTTAGATGTGCACGAGAGGCGTTGAGCAGACCCTTTTGCTCCGGTTCAATGATGTTGTAGCCATTCAGTTGACCGACTGTTGCCTCTGTAATGATTGCTTCCATCAGCTTTGAAAGTGTGGGGATGAGTACTACTGGGAGTGGGTTTGCGGGTTCCTAGGGACTGCGAATGCTGAAAATCGACGTGATTAGATCACGTTTTCCCATGGTATGCATAATTCCTTTATCCTAGAACATTTAGACGAATTGCGCTCATGGCTTTGACAGCACGGTTGTTGCCATATTCAACGCTGCCGGGTGTATGTTGTCGACTTCGGAAGCTGTGTAAATGCACAGTGAAATCTGTTTCCGTAAAATATTTGTGACTGTTAACATAATGTATAGGCTGAAATTTGTACGATTAATGTGGGTAGGTGATACTGGTGGACATTTGATTGGAAGGTCGGGGTATACTGTATCCCTGGCGCATTGGCTACTTCTTCAGCGCCTTGTGTTCCTCCCATTGTTGTGTTAAGTGGAAGGTTACCCTGCTTGACTTTATGGATATCCTTAAAATAATTTTACAGCTACTTTTTTCATTAGCAAATTTACAAGCTAAACGTTGTTTGTGATGGAGCTTGTTCTCACAGACAAGCGCATTCCAGTGGTTGCGCTGTGCTAGTCGTTCTAGGTTTCGAAATCACAACTGGATCTGTAAGCGCTGCAAGTTGCAATCCCTAGTGACATACATTTTTGTGTAGTGCTTCTGATGAAAGACGATGGGTTTGTGGAACGCATCTGCTTAGTTTCTGAAGCAGTTACGACCTGATTGTGGAAACGTTACTATCAATGTAGCTGAGTTGCAAGAGTTCTCAAGCAGTCATTGAGACCAAATCAGCTAAGATGTTGTACAATATGATCATACGTGCTGGTTTAGTGCGCTCTTCCGAGTATTCAGCGTAGTAACATTAGTTATAAAGTGCAGTGACTTGATCTCTTAGCCCTAGTGACATGTCTGTCAATGGCATGTATATCATTATTTCCTCATTTGTAAGTACGAGCTCCAGTACCGATGGGTTGCTAGCAGTTCTATATCTGGAGGTTTAGATGACGTGATTATATAATGAAATATTTGCGATAAAATCTTGTATTTCGACCTTGATTATATTTCCTGAAATTGCTATGGCGTCCTAGTCGCGTAGGTTGAAATCGTCTGAGATTAGAAGGTTGTTACAAGTTGGAAGGAAGTTTACGTTAATGCCAATATTAGGCGGGAATCAATCTCTGCGTTGGAAAGTGGGAGCTACAATCAGCTGTAACGAAGCAGTTGTTATCGTAACTGTAACGCAAACGGTAAATATCGAATCGGTGATCAGCTTCTCTGGAGCATATAATGGTTTCGGTTGTATGTGGTTTCGATAGTACGGAATTACGAATCCACCTCAGCTGGAACGATGGTCTTGGTACAGTAACATTTCCTGAATCGCTATCTCGGCGTCAGTATTCCCTGAACGCAACCAGCTCTCGGTTAAAGAAATAGATCCAAAATCTTCTTTGCCTTAGCCGAAGTGCGGCTATTTTGCTTAAAAGGCCTTGGACATTGGCGTACCTATAGTAAAGTTGTTCCGCTCTCATTAGCTAACTGAATTAAATGGGGTTCGGGTAAGTGTTGAACCAGACCGGTTTATAGTCAACCGGGAGCTGTTTGTTGACACATTATTGATCAGCCACCGGAAGTTGGGTTGGGCTTCATCGTCCTTATCCTCTCTAACGACTCACTTTGTACAATGCATGTAGTGTGGTCACGTGATTACATAGGAAGCTCGTTCTTTGCAGACATGCTACCATTGTGCTGATTATATGAGATCCTCAATACGTTTCGTTCTGAGGTGGCTCTTTAAATCAGGATGGGATTACTGACCGTCAGTTTGAACCGGAGCTCCGTTGGCAATCTGTTCCTATGTGACTGCCATGATTTCAGCAGCCTACGTGCCATCTGCCTTGTTTTAAGCACTGGGTCCGTTATCCTTGAGCCACACAGTTTTGGCTTAGTGATCTTGGCCGCCTTGAGAGAGAAGCGGTTGCAACATCGCCCAGCTGCAGAGTCTATGAATATAGCATTACAATTATTGATCGCGAACTCTTGCTTAGCATACATCGCCGTCATGAGACTTGGGGACGCTAAAGACTAAACCCTTGCTAGCTGCAGTGACTAAGCAACCCTTCGTTAAAAGTTCTGCTTCGCTTACTTACGCACGCCCCGAGGAAAAGCAGGAAAAAATGGACCAGATAGGCTCAGTTGTGTAGATGAGCTGCCTAAAACCAGATGGCTTCCACCTCATCAGCAGAGTTAATCCATCACGAAGACAACCGTTCTCACCATAATATTTGGAATTCCAGTGAAGCTAGATCCACATCAGGTTGGCGGTCCTAGTCGAAAAACCGAACTTGTTGTTCACGGTTTTCTAATAGCTAAGTTTTTTCATAGGCTCTTTTCAATGAATTTGATGATAAATCTTGATTGTTGGTACATACTCGGGATAGGGAATCCTGTGGTTGTTGTTGTGTCTTTCAGCAGAGCATGAATCGATGTTGGTAGATCGAGACATATGTTACGTAATAATGCAGCACTGTCTCTCATTTTAGTCTTAGGTATAGTAGTAGAAACAGTAACTGCTGATTTTGGAGCGCTTTAAGTTTCAAGTACTGCCCAGGTTAAGTTGATAATGGCTTGTTTTCTGCGTTTCGGCGAAGCTTGGTGGGGAGAAGCAGGGTTTGGGGGTAATTGTTCTCAATGGGATAGAATTGAAGATTTTGGTAACGCTTGAGCGACCTGAAGTTGTGGTAAGATGGTTACTTGCCATGTTCGCAGGAATCTATTTGTTAGAAGAAACACCTGGCGTTGTAGATTTTGCTTGTTGTGAAGTTCGGCGGAGAAACCTCATTCAAATAATCGGCTATATTATTCTCCTACTTACGCCGGTTTTGCTCAATATTTGCTCAAGCACTTCTGGCAAACTTCATATTTCCAAGAGAGTGCAATTGTGGTCCTTTTTAATGGGACGGTATTGCACTTCACTTAGAACCAACATGAGCTAGTTCTACTATTAAGTAGCGTGAAATCGGTTAAATTTATGACTCCGAATTTTATATAGAAATAAGTGGGGCAGTTAGAGCATGAGTTTTATTTGACCATCTTATTGCATGTTCCACAGGTGACTTAAAGCACAGCGCGCGGGCTACTCGCTCCTATCAGTTAACTTGAACTAGCTGTTGACGCTTACTTGACCCTGAACGCTAGCTTGTTTCTTCCGACACAACAGTCAGTTTTCCGAGGCAGTTGGTTGTCGCACTGTCAGCCGCGCAATGACTGCGCAGGGATTCAGGAACCAGTAGCCACACCATTGTAAGCACACATCCGCACAAAATGTGGTGTGTATTGCTTGGCTCGTAGTATTTATCCAGGCAAACAGGGCGCTGACAAATACTGGTTGCACAAAGGTGTTTTGTAGAGGACCGACACAAAATCTGCTACAGCTTTTATATCCGCAGCTTGCAGGGATGATTGTAGGATCGATTGGGATTTCTCAGATCCTTCTTCTGAATGAGATCGAAATCATTCCGGAACAGCTTTGGATTGGTGTATTTGCCCGAGTGGATTTCAGCAAAGAATGCATTAGGTAAGTGAACTTACGCAACATTATCATCCAAGTAAGTTAGATTCATGATTTTAGAAGCACTACGTAACGCTGCTGTAACTGGTGGCGCGAATTGGAATGTTGCGACGGGTGAAGCGAAAGTCGGAGAGTGCGTGTAGCCGTGCGGGACACGAACACGTAAGCAAGTGTTTAAGACCATAGTTTCCTCTTTTCTCGCATCATTAGGTAACCACTTTGTGACAAGCTCGGTGGTCCTTTAGTTTAAACTCACAGTAGGAGCATTTAGGATGCGAACGACCGTGATGGCAATTGTGAAGTCAGTATGGTTCCTAACTCGTTGTTAACGTATGGGTCAAACATATGGTAGTGTGACCCGAAATACGCTCGTTCATCTTGTATGAATGACAGAGCAAATTATCCACATGCCTGTGAAGATTACTGAAACAAATATGATTGGGCTGTTTAGTTTGTGTCTTTGCAGTTGGATAAAACATGACATAAATGTTTCGTTCATTGGTCTTTCTACTGTGGTTTTTTAGAAGTAAAACCGTAAGACAAACGCGGAGTTTTGGATAGAATTAAATATTGTGTTGGCGTTACAGACTAGCTATTTGTCGACTCAGTTTGAAGCATTCATTTTGTGATGCGATTACTGCACGTGCTCTTACTGTGGACAGTGATCCGCACTGAAGTGAACATTGACAAATTTGAACATTAACATTTTTAGTACCATTGTATGACCATCATCATCATAGGCAGTGTACCAAACTCGACAGCGTTAAAGTGAGAGCAAAATCGCGTTCAAACTCAGATATCACGTTGGAAGATTTCTCCATTTTTCACTGTAAAGGAGTGTTTTACTAAGAGTGATGTTTTCCCAAGTAATCTGAAAAGATTTGACCTAAATCCAAGAAAATTAACGTACATTTACTCCGTTAATAAGCTTACAAATATAAAGACAAATTATGCCCAAACTAGTTAACTCCGTATAACTTGTTTTCCTCGCGAAAAATCCAGATTTTTTGGATATAACTTTTGTTACTTTCTTCAAAGTAATGACAAATCTTAGATGTCCAGTGATCAACACCCAAATGTAACAGCCATATATCTTCTCAAAATGGTAGGGGGTAGCTCATTTACTTATTTGTGCCTTTATTTAATAGCTTCATTTAACCACGGACTAAACTGAGTTTTACTCAGGAAGCAACCTTCCGACGGACATTCAAAACTCTCGGATAACCAATCCTCACCAATAATCGGATAATGGCTGGTCATGGCAATTCCAATGCTTGGAATAGTTTCTTCTAAGTGCATAGATAAGGTCTTGCCAACCTGATAAGCCTGTACTCATTGACAGAGCCACCGATCCAATTAGTAGGGGCTCATTCGTCGTCGTATGAACATAGCCATTGACTTAGGGGTTTGGCCTCAATACAGATAAGTAATTAGGGCAATTCGACTGGGAATCAAGGTTGAGTATACAATTACTATCCTTCTTTCTTATGTGGCATTGATAACTGAAAAGACCCACGGCTGATTTCAACTTACGGCATGTCAATCTGACTAGTGTTTGTTATCATGGTCCACAGCTATATTAGGTAACTCCAGCAAAGCACACTACGTTCCACATTTCACCACGCCATACCGCGCCCCGTTATAGGTTAGATTCCAGTTCACACTTGTAAGGCATACTCCATACACACAAATACCATTGGAGTTCGAGCAAGCATCTTCACAACCTAGCCCAAACGGAGTGGCTCGAGAAGTCATGACTCCCAAGCAAATGCGAGCGCACATTTCGATCGGAAAAGCGCAACCCTTTGAGCAGCTGGAGTTGTTCTCTTCCGCCGGAGAGTATGCGAACTCGCTGAACAGGAACCGTACATTTGTAGCAGTCGAGGCGAGGGAATTTTCCACAGGCACCGCACACATATGGAGTTTGGACAAATTTAAGTGAGTCGCTTCCGTGAAGATGCCTGATATATTTATGCACTTCCAATGCACTTAGAAAAATGTCCAGAACATTAACAGTCTTTCTAAGCCGCCAAAATGTTTTAGACTAAATACAGCTGTAAAAATAGAAAGTTATCTTTCTGTAGCCAGGCGAACAGGTTACAAACAACACAAGCTCTAAAATGTTCGTTGGGTTGACGTAGTGGTACTTAACGGCTAAGCTAATTTCCGTTTGAGGCTGTTGTATATTAGTTGTTGTAAGTTTCCACGTGAAGATCAGAGTTTGTGAACGATAAAGCACAGTTGTGCTGCGCTAACTGTCCAGCAGTTGTCATAGAGTCATTACGAAATAGTCGAAATTATCAACCACTATTGACTACTATACTCTGAAATATATTTGTCGATGTGTTTGTGTGATGATTTTACCTATATTATTGCTATATGTTAGTTCAAACTTCTGCGGACCATACTGTGCACTTTAAGGTGTAGCCCGCAGCCGTCCTCTGGTAGACGAACGTGGTTGTTGCTAACTCATTTAGTAGATCACACGTCTAACCTAAGGGAACATTCCACATGAAACTAATCGTGTACAAGTCTGTTCGAATATGCTATTGGTGCAACTGAGTGATAATCGTACTTATTTTCATGGAAATGCCACAAGTTAGAGCATCACCATGTTAAGTGTCATGGAGTTTTGATTTCGTTACTTACTCTTCCTGAGACTTTGCTATCCCAACTTTTGTAGTTGTGTTTACCAGTATCCCATTGACGACTAATGTTAGGTGTAACGTTCTGATACTTGTAAACTTTCTACTCCACTTTAGAGGAGTGACTTTCTTTGTATCCTAAAAACCATAAGAGAAACTTCTTCCCACCATCGGACTTGATATCGAAGTGACCTGCATAGCTTATAATGTTTCGATACATGGGCAGACGCAATGAACTTAGCACATCAGCGTTTACGTTCGCCTCAACAGGAACAGTCGATATGAGAAGGGACAAAATGTCAAAGATTCTGTGCTTTGCTTCAACAAGCTGATTAGCTTCGCCAGCCAGGTTGATGCCGTCTAAAACACACCAGTGGACATTAATATGATAAACGTTTGATTGGAACTAAAACTTTCGGTATCGTACCAGACCATCCATAACGACCATATGGGGTTCGGTATGCGACAAAAATGCTATTGTTCTTTTAGTTGAGACACACCTCAGTTATCATCTATCCTTTCCGCCAATTTTGTTTGAACAGACTAACCTTGGAATCAACAATCTTTTGAAAAACCTATTATTCAGAGCCCATTAGCACAAGATTGAAATGAAATATAATGTACTGAGCACCTCTTAATGTAATGTTAATTCTTCCAGGAGTAGACTTTTGTTCATGCGTCAGTACTACGACATCCAAACAGATTTCGTTAATGCTTTGATGGAAAAGGAAGTGGAGCACAATGACACTTCACCAGGTGACAGAATGCCGCCAGTGGAAGTATCAGAAAGGAAAGACGGATTTGGGAACCAATCATCGGCAAACAGTGCAGGAGGGAAATGTTCCATGGTAGATCCGTTCCAAATCAGGGAACCATGGATCCGTTTGATGGGACGGTAAGTAAATATAATTTCTTGCATACGGTGCGCAATTGTATCACAAGTATACCAGCCCCATGTTGCTACTGAAGCTTCGGGTTACTTCATTAATGTAGATCCGCCGTTGTGTGGAAGCAGCATGTGAATATAAATGGAACTCAACGAGGTAGGATAATCTTAACGTTTGGAGTGGATTTCAAGCTCTCAACAACTCGTACTATATACCTCTGAAGTACACAGTGGAGAAAAAGAACGCATGCAAGGTACACTTGTTAGGGTGTATCTAATACTGGCAGGCATCCAATATGCTTGCTCCATCTGTTACAACGCAGTTAAACTAGGGAACTGAGAGGCCACCTTCCGGAATCGGTCGTACACTTCAGTCGCGTCTATCTCCTAAAATGTTTGTTCCGCTCTACAGTAGTTTGGTCAGGCATCCGTAGTCTATCTTATGCAAGCTATGATCTTCATTATATCTTATTAGACGTCAAATGGACTGTGTGCGCTCCTTTTCGCATTATGTGATATAGCAGGCATTATTTGGAAGATAAACAATGTAGTTAAGCAGTACGTTCATCAACCCAACATAATCTGCCCCTGTAGTCATGTGGTAAGTTAGGTGAGTCCAATACCCACGAAGTCCTTTGGGTCTGCAAAACTTTCTACGCTTTTCTTACGAGGTCTGTCAAACAATTGACCTTTATACGTGCTAAACTATTATTACGCAAGCAGCCATAGTTATCCTAGTTCTATATTGCTAATGCACGGTTACAGTCAAGTGTCTAAGCATTTTAGAAATCAATGGAGCCAACTTTTTCTGCAAGCCTGTTCAACTCAAACTATCGACCCACATAAAGGCAGTCTGAGAATATAAGTCCAACGACATACTGTTTGCCGCATCAATGCGCACCTGAAGGAAACCCGACGCGTTCTCTAGAAACTGAAACCATCCAATTAGCACGCTGTGTTGGAGTGCAAGCTTCCATGAGACTGCGCGTAAGCTCTGCGTTACAGTTGTCTCTTTATCCCGTTTGTCGGGCCACATGTGAAGTGGAGACTCGATTGTAGACTGCACCGACTGACGGCCACTATATCGTGGAGAATCAGCCGACCTCATTATCCAAAGCACACGGTAACCTGACTCCCATATGAATGCAGACTGAAAGACGAAGGACTAACCGTGGTCAGTGGGAGGACAACGAACGCTGAGCTCAACTGTAGGGCGAAGCTGCTGGAAAAATGCGCACAAACAGAGCAGTCCGGATATGAGTAGGCGAAGTGGTGAAATTCTTTCCATGTGTTTTTCGGATCACTGGCTGGGCGATGAATTACCAGCAAACACCGCCATCACCAAGTTACCCTCAAGCCAATTTGCGTTACGTGCCTGTTAATCGGCGCGTGAGTATTTTTCGCCTGTGGGATGAGTGCTGGTGTAACGCTGAACAAGCCGCTCGACAATACAATACTACCCACACTGCCACGCGGCCCCTCAACAGAAGGTAGGTTCATAGACCGGTGAGCAAATTTTAGAAAACTGGAAGCGTGTGCAACGCCAAAAGGATACAGCGGCCACGCCTCACCACAGAGGACTTTTCTGCTTGTGTGGTTATTCGTGAGGTGTCCAGAAGCAGCGACCTGAGCATTCGTAAACTCGGCCAGCATTGTGACACCACCAGATATGCGGTGCATAGGATTTTGAAGGAAAGGGAATTCCGGAAATGTAGCGCCGCATGTGATTAGGCGAAGCGGCTTGATTATTGCCGCAGGTTTTTGAATGCCATGGACGTACATTCAAAACTTTTACCGAGGAGGCTGTTTTCCATTTGCACGGTGCTGAGAACCAACAAATTCGGGCAACGTTCAATCCACGTCGATGCAGCGTCTCACGTATACATGGCGCAAAGCTCAAGGTATAGGCTGGGTTAAATGGCCAAAGAATCTTTGAGCCATTTTCCAGTACTGTGACCGATACGTTGCTGTTTCGAATTAATAATGCCTTATGCAGTCTAGCATCACTGTACAAGGAATTACTGCGAAATTGCCCTTCCGGAACTGGAGTCTGCTGGGTTATTAAGTACCGTTTGGTTGCAACAAGATGACGCACCTGCACACAGTACACAAACGGTGCGACATTTTCTAAACTAGCCTTTGTTGCCCTTGGATCAAGAGGGGAGGACTTATAGAGTAGCCTGCTCGGTCAACAGATTTGAATACATTGAATTTCTTCCATTGGGGTTACTTAAAATAGTAATGTTATAAAACGAAACCAAAGTCACTTGAAAAATTGAAGCAGAGAATTTTGCATAAATGTCATGGGATCACAGTTGAGACTTCGGAAAAAGTGCTAGCACACACTATCAGGTGAATGCTGCACTGTATGTAATATGCCGGCGGGCACTTCGCATATCAACTTGGTTGACATGTCTAAGCATTACACTGATAACCCGTAAATATACGTATCATGCAATAGTTTAGCGATTAAAGTCGGGTGCTGGTTAATGCTCTCTTTTTCTTATGAACATCATTTAATAGTTTCCCCTTGGGTTTCGTTTGCGCGTGTCGTGTAATAAATTTCGCTGGATATCCGTTCTCCAGTAGGTCGCCTCTAAGTCGAAACCTTGTCCTTACCGTTCAGTTTCGCTACTCCACCAAATCCATTTGGAAGAATAACAGTCGAGGCTCCGTTTGCACCTTTGAACGAAAATCTTCCCAGTTGTACACTGACCAATGAGGAGGCAAGCGGTTGCTTTACAACTACAAGGGTAGAACTTACCAAACAGTCGTGCGCTAGTGACACTAATAAGTGACATACCATGACGAGGGATCATTGCGAGTCCTTAACGTAATGGTTAAGCGAAGAGACAAGATATGGGATTAAGTGTCGTCATAATGCAGAAACAGGGCTACATACAGAACATGCAAAAATTTCTCGCAGACTCTAGTCGATTCGTACGTGATGTGACAAAGAGTGATAATACCGAACAGGTTGTGAAATCAAATTTTCGTAAGCTAAGGACCCTAATGAAGTGGGAATAAATCATGCAAAACTATGGCTCAGCCGATCACTCGAGCATATAGGCTCCCCTAGTCGTAACGACTACCGAAACTCACGTGGATGGCATTCCCCTACCATCAATTGTTTCATTGGTAGGCGCACCGTCTCAGAAGTTGGCCAAATGTCTGGCCAATATAATCGAGTTTTCCTAAGGGAAATAGCCAGCTACAGTGTTAAAGACACGTTTGTTGATCATCATCATCATCATACACGTTAGCTAGAGGTGGGGAACACCTCAGCTACTGTGCCGCAATACCAAGAAAAAGCAGAGAGAAAAAGAAAACAACTGGTGAAAGCTGGCTGAGCTACCGGTAACGGATGGGCATCGTTCCGGTAAGCTACCAGCCGGATGCTGTGCACCCAAAAAAAATTATTATGCAAAATTATATAAGGCTAAGTAATGAGAAC